ACGTGTGCAACCTCTCGCTCGCCGACCTCGAGGGGAAGCTCGAGGCGGAGAAGCTGAGCGGGCTCGTTGCTCCCCTCTGGTCCGCCATTGAGAAGCTGCGCGACCAAAGCGCCGCGACCGGGGCGGCGCTGAACGCCAAGTTCGCCGCGGAGGGCGACGCGTTCAAGGGCGAGATGGGCTTCGGCGGCGTCGAGCAGTTCTACGGAGGCGTGCTGCACGCCAGTAGCTTACCTATCCTACCCGCCCACTCTTACCAGCGACCCCCGTCCCCTGACCTGTGGGCAGGCCTCGAGAAGATCATCGGGCCGCCGCTCATGGTGGACGGCTCGCTCCTCAAGGCCATGGAGACGGAGCACTGCGAGAAGAAGGATGCGGACGTGCCGTTCGACACCTCCAACGGCATCAAGGGCGCGACCTCCAAGCTGGAGTGGGAGTTTGTCGTCGCGCCTGTCGAGGACCAGGACGGCCGCTACGCCGAGCGCGGCGGCGACTTCCGCACGGCCCACCCCGAGTGGTGCCGCAAGCCGGAGCCGCTCTCGGTCTACGAGAAGAAGATGGCGGACGAGATGAACCCGAAGCTCGTTAAGGCGGGGCAGGCGCCGCTCACCAAGGAGGAGCTGGTCGCCGGCCGGCTGTACACGGGGCCGATGTACGAGAAGTACAACGGCGTCCTTCGCTTCTCCTCAGCGCGCGGCGCCGACGGCGCGGTGCGGCTGGAGTACGCCTCGGAGAAGGAGGTGCCCTTTCTGCAGAAGAAGTGCGGCTTGCTTAACCTCGGCGAGTGGGCTGCGACGGCGGCAGGCAAAGGCGAGGCCGCGGTGCGCTGGACGTGGCACAACCAGTACTCGACCACCATCCACGCGATCAACTCGATCATTGTCAAGCTGTCGCCGCTGACCAAGATCACGCCGCTCTACCGCGGCTGGGCGGGCGCCACGCTCCCGGAAGGCTTCTTCACGCCGGACGCGTTCGGCTTCCGCGGCGGCGTCGAGTACGGCTTCTCGTCGACGACCACCGACCGCGCGCAGGCGGTGCATTACGCGGAGGGCAAGGCGTCGACGGTGCTCCAGCTCGTGATGGGCATGATCGACCGCGGCGCCGACATCACGTGGCTCTCGCAGTACCCGCACGAGAAGGAGACGCTGCTGCCTCCGCTGATGGGCTTGCAGGTCCCCCCTTCTCCTTCACCCCCC